GAAAGGAGAGGTGTTGCATAAAATACTTAAAGTTCTCATGGGCAACATATTAAAATCGATTAAGATTTAATCGATGTAAAAGAAGTAAAAATTCAGCAACCTGTTATAATAAACCGGATCATCAAGATAAAATTCCATTCAGAAACGACAGAGTCCTAGAAGTACTCTATTTTTCTGATTTCTCAGGATCAACGGATTAGCGTTGAACAGAATGGAGAAAAAGCCGCAAACGCAACCCTCGCCACGGGGTCGCGCTCACGGCACTGTCAGGACAATGGTACCGCACATGTTTTACCTGGTCCCGCCGTAACGAGACATGACGTCACGACATGGCGTCTGCAGGTGAAACAGCGAGGCCAGCAGCGTAAGTGAGCGCACTCGCTAGCCGATCCGATTGGCCGAAAGAGGAATCCCCGCCCTTGCGCCGCGCTCTGCACATCGTTTCCCCGACGTTGGACCCGGCTAACCCCTCTCACTCCCCACCGCCCCCCGTATACTCCTTCTATCCGTCTCTATCGTTCCACGTTTATTGCTCTGCCTTTCTTTCCCCTTTTTCGCAAACGTGCTTCGACAAACTGCCCGTCTCCGTCTTCGTTCGTCTCGTCCCATCTGCCTCTTTCCATCCTTCGACCGTGCATCGTCGGTTTAAGAGAATCCGTGGTAATACCCAGAACGAAATAAGAGTCGCGACAGGACACGCGAGGGGTTGCTCCGTTACCAATAAAGGTAAATACAGGCATAAGTGTATGTATGTATATTCGATGCTTGGCCTCTCAGTTGATGAGATTCACTTAATGATTCAAGTTGATTTTTACGAACATACTATGTAATTATTTACTATTTCTCGGAATGTTCCTAGCAATACTAAACATTATATAGCAATTCATTATTGGATGATCGTGAAGTATGAAACTGATATTCTTGTCTTATTAACTTCCCTCGGATGGAATAAAATTATTTGTTTCAGAAAGATCGAGAAACTATGTTATTCTCGTGGGATTTTATTATTGGGAGTAATTGAATATTTTCCAGCAATTGTATATATGAACATCATATGTCAACTTTCTATTATATGTTAACGTAGACAGCAATGGAAAAAATGACAAAAATATTTCAAATTTTAAACAGATCTCTGTTAATTCAGAAGTATATTTCAGCACACAGTTTCAAAGTCAACCCTATTCCTGAAAACACAAGATCAACAAATCCATCTACTTAAATCGAATTAATCGATGCATCAAACATCGCGACGAGTGATAGCCAGTCACTGCGTACTCGGACGTTAAATAACCATGGCGGGTCTCGTCATTTGAGGTCAAGGGGTTAAGATCACTTATTTATCCGAATCGCCCAGTTCCCAACAAGATTCCGCTAAAAGGATCTCCATGAAACGAAGTGGGGGCCTCTTTCGCTCGGCCAACACGACAACGTCCATTTTTTTTTCTTCTCGTCTCGTCTCGTCGCGGTGCATCCCCATCGCGACTCTGCGTGCAAATACTCGAGCGTGCATGGAGTGCCGGCGAGACGCGCAGGCTCGCGCGCAACGAGCGCAGAAGAGAGGAGATCGCGGCTGGACCGTGTTTACACCTCTCTCGTCGCGCAACGACAACGGTAGAAGATGGATCTCTCTACCTTTCTCGCTTTCTCACCGCCGATGCATCCCTCCGCGATCATTTGCCACGATGAACGTGGTCCCTCCCGGACGACATCCCTCGTTAACCCGTTCTTATCGCAACTATTTACGCTACTATTATCGGTTGAATGGGCCGAGGCTACCGATTTTTCAATTCTGCGTCGCGACTTCGCAAGTGATCATACTGTATCCCTTATAATGTATCAGGATTATAATGAAATTTGTGAATTTCGAACTGTTATTTCTGAGTTCATTGTTAACAAACGAAATAGTTCCAACGAGCTGCGTTGTAAATATCATAGGGCAATAGGTTGACTCTTTGAAACTTTGAAACTTTAAAACTTGCATCAAAGGTATTTAATGTAGCTTGATGTGGCGCTTCACCAAGAAAGCGAGTCTCCTGGACATTGGTTGAGAATGGTCTATTGTATTAACGGAGAACTAGCAACGTGCAGATATAGGCATGGCTACTGGTTATCAATATTCATAACTTTCGCTGAAATCTTCAGGAACAGGAACGGGGAGAATTTCGAAAGTAGCCGTTCTTGGACCAAATTTGGAAACGGATAATTCGCAATTCGTTGGAACTTTGCTATTCAACGTCTGTTATGTTTACATTTGTTGATATATCTACAGATACGAGCTTCTAAATGCTTATATAAGAGTTAAGAGCATCTTCTAAGGAAATGAAAGACATTAGCAACATTGATTTAAAGTCCAACAAAGTTACTTTGTGTTGTGTCATCTTTAGATATCAGTCTTCGTGGAAACAACTCTACAAGACACAGTAGCGAGTACAATCACTGTTGTTTATCCTATTCGTACTGATTTTCCGTCATGTTTCCACTGTACTTCGAATGCAACAACATAAACTTTCTGTTTCCAAGTAGCACCAAAAACTGCCATTTCTCAGTAACCTTTCAACAGGGACATTACTTAGAAATTCATTTCTACTCAAGTATTTTCGCGAAACTCCTGTCTCGATAAAGCCTGCTCGCAAACAATTGATGATTTTCATTGCAACCGACTCAACCATCCTTTTCCCCGACACGTCCCGGGGATTGCTGCGCAAACAACGAACATTTTGCATATTTTTCGGATGACGTCAGCCAACCGAATGAAAAATAAGAAACACACCCGATCGCGATGTATCGGCTTTCTGTTTGTCGCTAATAGAACCCTGACGTCACGATGGCTCACGAATATCGCTGACGTCACGGAACAATATTTGATTAAATAGAAACCTCTCTCATCTCTACGGGCGTGTTTAACGTCGTTACTATTAGAAATCGTCGATGAGATCTCTTGATCCCTGTAACCAGTCGTATTGCTGCGCTCACAAAGGTATAACACGACAGTTAACGCCACTGGAACGAGGATAGGAGCGAGAACCGGACCAACATTGTCGTCAAAGGGTGTCGTTCAAGACTAAATCGACCGAAAACAAACGTGCCAACAATAACACCGTTAATTCTGCTAGGAGAACGACCGATGTCTTTTTATCCCTTGCAACTGTATCTCGCAATATTCTCTATCAAGGATATCGTTATTCTCAATGTCGTTCTTACAATTCGTCAAACATTGTCTCGATTGTGGATCAAAATTAGGGAACCAACGATCGATCGTCCTAACTGGAATGTTTCCTAACCATTGCTCCAAAGTATTTTAGAACCTTTTCCGCGATTTCCGCAATTATGTTTGCTTAAACTGAAAAATCTAAAAGAAATTTATGAAAAAATTTATCTTGGAAAATTGAATAATTCGTATTTAACGTGTGTAACCCAAACGAGCACCCATGAAAATCCCATGAAATCGAAATATTTATTTGATGAAATAATCGCTGGATACTGATGTTCATTTATAAGGAATTTTATTATCTATGCATAAATAAATATATAAAAATATCAGCATGTAGGAAATCATTATTTTTCCAGTAAGAAAGACAACATCTATTTCACGTTCGAACAAGACCGAATGTTTTATATCAAGAATGTTAGGCTCGTGCATTAATATCGCGGCTGAGATACGTGGAAAAGAAAAAGAATACGGCGTTCCGACGAGGCGACAAGACACGCGTTGTTTGTAAACTCTGCCGCCCTTCTGACACGCCGCAACATTTTGTTCATATTTCCAGTGACGGTCAACGTAAATACGTAGATAGGCTGACGACTCTTTATCGTCGGTCAATTTTATCGATCATCGAACCGCGAACACAGTTGTCGCGATTTTTTGTTAAAAGTCATTCCAGAGTTGACTGAGCCTTAGAACCGACTTTCACTTGAACCACGCTTGTGCATAACTAATTTTATTTTTCTATCAATATTAATTTATATTGAACTATGAGAATTAGTTATGTAATATAAGAAAATATAATATGACTTTTAAACAGGATTTATTTGATATTTCATTTCTGCTTAATTAGACCAACTTAAAATTCAAACGAAAATTGTAGCTCAATTCTTAGACCCAGTACCCTAACTGAGGTGTTATGTCTTCGATACATCACGATACGCTCATCGAATTATCAAATAATTTCTTTTTTCTCAGTGTTAGTAACTACACTACAATATTGTACATTTATGTTCTTACTTTAATATTCAAATGGTACGAATGACATTTTGTTTCACTGTATGTGATAATAAAGAAACATTATTACCAATGTTATTATTTTGTAGCAAGCCGAAGTCCGCTGATCCCCTGCACGTTTCAACGAGTGCCCAACAGAACGATCGCCTCGAATACATATGTTTGTATACAATCTCCGCGATTGAATCAATCAGTATAAAGCGCAAAACTAAATAATGTCGATTACTACCGAAAATTAAACAAGACATTGTGCTTATTATTAACTTTACAATTATTAAGCCATCAAACTACTTAGACGAAACACGAGTATACAAACAGAACTGAGGTGTGTTGTATGTCAAATTATTGGGACCAGTGTTTCTATGTATCATTAAATTCGTATCTACTGTCCCTTAAAAGATGCGAGCATATGACACTCTTAATCATACTACATTCGTAATATAACATCGTAGTACACTGACAAAATAACATCAAATAATAATGACCTTGAATTTCAAATGAATACAAAGTACTCACTTTGACGAGTCTATTATCTCAATGTTAACAAGCAATCGACCTTCTTACCAAAAGCCCGCGTAATCGAATAACATAACCTAATAAACAGACTGCGAACTTTATGCATTTGCAACAAAGCCGCAGATTCAACGATCATAATCGTCTTTTAACACAGGAGTAACCAAATTTTCCTCAATTTCGAATTCCATAAAATTGGTCGATAAAAATAGGAATGGACATTCGGATACGCAGTGAAGATCTAAACAAGCAGGATGAAAATACTCACCATTGGACTATCAGGCGTGTGTCGATGATGGACAATCGGCATGTTGGCCATTGCGACACCTCCGCCGGGGTTCCCCATGTCCTGATACTCGTCGCTGATCTCCATCGCGTAGGATGGCAACGGTTCTCTGTTCTTCACCCTAATTTTGGCTGATTTACCGCGAACGCGGTCGCCACGACACGAGAGACCCCCCGCAGCCAAACACGCTGCCAAAACGTTCGCGTATGATCGCGACCGGTGCGGATGGAACGACAGGATACGCAAAGACGGACAGAGCGGAACGGCGCAAACGGAGCACCAAGTTCCGACGTTCGTCACCGTCCAACGTTCCTTGAGCTGGCTTCTCCGTATTTAAAAATTTGACACGGGCGAACCGGTAGCGTATACTTCTCGAGCTGGCGAAAGTATTAGTCGAGCGTGGAATCGAATTGCACGTGTCCCGTGTACTGGGATTCACGATTTATGAGCTCGGTCGGTAACAGTCCGTGTTACCGGTAAAAAATACCGCGCGATGTCGGACGCGTATCATTCGTCACCACGAGCGATCACTGTTTACGTTTGCCGGTTTTTACGTGTCCATGTCTATTCACTAAATTTTTTGTAGATACCGTTTCCCAGGTCTGGAGATCAGGACTGTCGTGTCCGTGGACGCGTGCGAGTCCGCCGGATTCACTGGTTCCGTGTTTGATGTCTAACGTATCGGTCTATCACCGGCGTGGTGGATGTCGCTGATTACGGCGCCCGTTTCCTCCTGGTTAGTTCACGTTCTGTCACCGACAACGCGTGAGTAACACACGCGGCGAACCGATAGCTGACACGCGCGCGATTTAGCTTTCTCCGGTGTGTCCGGGTCGTCGCCGATCGTGGGAGAATACACTACCGCGGAACGGCACACAGAAAGACGGAAGAGAGCAAGAAAAGCGCGGAAAGCGTTTGCAAGAGGGATCTGATGAAAGCGCGCACGCGTGTCACGGCACGATGGTAAAGCGCGCACACCGCGGTACCGAGAGAGACTAACACTTTAAGAGATAAGGAAAGAAGAAAGGAAAGGAAAGGAAAGAAGGAAACAAGGAAGGAAGGAAGCAATGAAGGAAAGAAAGAAGGGAAGAACGGAAGGACGGACGGTTAGACAGGAGTGGGGAGAGGGGATGACGACGAGACTCGCAGCCGAGTCTCTTGGGAGGGGTGGAAAAAGGAGAAGAGGGAACAGGACGAGAGGGAAGGGTGTGCTCGCGCGAGAATTCACGAGCGTGATCCGAATTTGGCGATACCGACTGTATCGAGATTTCCGGGTCTACACGTTGGACGTTTCGATTGGTCGTGGTTCGATCGACATCGCGTCAGTCACTAGGAGATGCAGATCTGTGGCGGTGGCGGCGACGACGACGAAAGCGAAAATTCAAACTCAGGTAAACGGAATGCGAAACGGAACCGAGCGATTGGTAAACGGCAACGGATTCGACAGACTCGAAGACGGAGCTGACGCGCGCACACTCGCGTCCCCTTGCGATCTGACGCTCAGAAGCTCGGGCTTGTTCGCAATCCCCTCTACTTCACGCGCGATTCGGTAGAGGCTCGCAGCCAAGTTGCAGCGACAAGTAAGCGGGCGGTGTGGAGCGCAAGTAGGCGGGGTCCTGGGACGCCAACGCGGTCGCCTGGCAGCGCGTATCGGGCCGCGGTAGGCGGTGGACCGGTGGCCACGCCCTGTATCGACACCTCCCTCTTTCGAGTCCGTCCTTCTCCATCTCATCTCGCGCTGAGTCCGTTCTCCTTGTCTATACAGAGTTGCCCCTCTTGATGCTCACGGTTTCTCTCTCTTTCGTGCACCCTATCGGATAACGACCCCTGCGCGGACCCACGAAGCCTGCAGACGATGAGAGAACCTGGATGAGACAGAGAAAGATTTTCGAGGCATTCGCACGGGATTTCCCTAGGATTGCGACCTGCAACGTTCCTGCTTCCGTTTCTACCTGGGATATCTGCCCTCGATACAAGCCTCCCAGGTATGCGTGCACGCGTACTCCGCCTAGAGAACCAATCACTCCGAATCTTTAATAAATGATTATTTCTGTCGATTACCCGATCGCGTGAGAATCAATTATTAACTGAGGCAATCAGCCGATAAGGATTGCATCGCTCGTCCTGTTCCGCAATTGGCGTTCCATGTCTCTCTATCTGTACTTTTATCTTTGTTTTACGCGCGGTTGCTATCTTGAGCTAGCACCTCGGTGAGGTCGGTTAGGATGGAGGGAAATTCTGGCCGTAGAGGTTCTTGGTCAGTGAAGTTATTCGATGGTTGTATAAATACATACCTTGTTCTAATAGGAAAGAATTACAATTTTATCTTTTTATTGTGTTCGTTTGTCCCTGTGCAATGTATACGAAAAAAAATTTTTATGGTTAAATATGTTGCTTCTTTTATTCTTCATATAACGGTCCAACGCTCTCTGGAAATGAGAGACAGATAGGGCTTATTATAATCTCTTAGGGAGATTTGGAAGATGTGAAACAAATGGAGTTTATTATAATACATCATCGTCTGATTAGAATATTCCATTGTATCGATAATCTTCAGTTTATGATTATGTTATTTGGCTAGTTGCTGCACACATTGAGGTATTCTTTGCGTCATGTTTTAAATAATTACCTATATTTCGTGTGGAATAAACTAATTACACGTTGCTTATTTATTTATGTATTCCCGTCAGTCTTCCATTGTACGGTTCTAATGAGTTCGTCCCGTATAATAAATAAATGCCCGAAGAGATTATGATTTTCCTTTGTCGTGTTTTCATTGCCGTGTCGTGTTCCATCGGAACGATCTGGTGGCGTAAGGTTACTGGTAATTGAACATGATTGCCATGATCGTTTGCCGCGATAACGTGCTACGAAAGATTCTTCTTCAAGATCCTCACGACACCGCCCTTCAACCCTTCATAAGATTTCTTGATAATAATACGCATTTCGACCAAAGAAACAGCCGCCCAGAGAGGCAGAAAAATTGTGCCGCTGCAAATGGAAAGAGAGATGCGTCAATATGTCCTTTATTTTCAGAGGCAACTTAGTAACGGGCAGATTTCATAGCTTCCCGTGAATTCATAGTTTTTATGGTCGAAATGCAAAAACTAAAATTTAATAAAATGTTGTTTCCTTTATTTGTAACTTCAGTATATTAAAAAGATTGAAATAATATTGAAATCTATTGAATGTTCTATTTAATAATGTTTTGCTGATTTTTGTGTTCTATAAGGCTAGATATAAGTTCTTCCGTTTTTATAGAGATACGCTTCCTTTCATCAATGGTTCCAGTTGGTCAAAGATATAATAAAGTTTCATCGAATTTTATTCGAAATAGTATTCGTTAATTCTTCGAAGAAGTTTAAACGTTATAAATTGCACAAAGTAGCAGTAATAATCATAAGTATCGCAAGCATCATGAGTATCGTCTACCTCCATTTTAGTGGATGCCTCGAGAAAGGAAGTCGGAGTGCGCGGGGGTAGAAGAGGTGAACGTGCCTACTGGCAAATGGTATTAAACCACAGGTTTCGGCGCCTGTTCGTTTCTGTTGGCGAGCATGGGCAGTTAACACTCAAACGGCTGTTTGATCCCGTCAGTAATAAGACTCATCCCGGTCCGTTTCGCTAGATACCATTCTTGCCTCGTATTCTTCCTTTCTTTCAGTTTGTTCCCGGTACCATTCTCTTTGTCTCTTTTGCTTTGGTCTTCTGCCTCGTTTTCTAACCCCAATATAACAACAAAATGCATGAACTGTATGATACAAAGAACACGCTATACCTTCGAATTCCTGCAGTCTAAATATACGCAATTACTTGTGCTGCGTGACTGTATCAGTTTCTCTTACATTAGAATTTCCCCAATATACGATAACCTCGTCATTACTATTTTACATTCCGTAGTATTCGACATGTCATGCTCATTGATAGGTGACGCTATCTTTTGATGCCGCTGAAGACATTTAACCATACAAACGCTTAGGCTGCAAGAAATTCAACTGTATAAGTATACAATCGCAAAAACAAACAATAAAACTTAGCGATTGAATAAACGATAGATACAACTAGAAAAATTACAAAAGATGGCTGTCCATTCTGGAATTCCTACTTTCATGTTATCTATCCAAAGACCAACATCCCTGGTGGAAGCATCCACCCCTTTACTATCTCTTTCCGTCCCTCTAGTTCGCTTTCGTTCCATCTTTCCTCCATTGCTTCTCCTCCTCGTTTTTCTCTGCGGGTTCTTCAATTCCAGTTTCGCCTCGTCCACCGGTTGCTGGTGTTCTCCCGCGCGCATCTGCATGCGCTCCACGTCACATATACAGGCAAGATGGCGCGTACGGTGCTCGTAGTACAAATTGCAGGTAATTGCAGCCCGCGGAGAGGGCTCTCCTCCTCCGCCGGAGAGCGGAGCGGAAAGGGGCGAAGGGCTGGCCGAAGTCGGGACCGTGTGAAACTGCGAATTTTATGATTTACAAACGCGATCCTTTATAAGGGTATATGGATCTACGCGGCGAACGAGCCGGGCCGCTGTTAAGATCCGCCCCTGTGACCTCGCGGACCAACCGCGAGATAATTGCACGCCACGGACGATGCACGATTTACTCCTCGCGATTTACGATTTCGCTCGCTTCGACCAGCCAAGGAAATATCGACCGGGACAGAGAAAAGTTCAGTCGCTGCTCTGGACGTTTATCCTGAACCAGACGCGCTCAGTCCCTTCAAATCGAAGAACGATTAGGTACTTCAATATTAGTCGGACTATTAAAAGTGTCTCGCAGTTTCGTTGTTTCTTCAACTTTCAAGATTACCCTGAAGTTACTGGTTGGACGTAATTCAATGTTGCTTAGCCGTTAAAATATAAAACGGATGTCTGGGTGTTAGACTCATAATGTTCATTGATAAAATATTTATTTACAAATATTTTCAATGTGTAAACGAACACAGCATTTTGGACAAAGATCAGTTGAATCTTTGAAACCCATCGCCATTTTTTTTTCATCAGTGTTTTCAGTCGGAACGTTGACTTTCCTTTTTATTCGAGAACGGCCACTCCACGAGAGTCCGATATTAAGACATCCATCGGGCCGTTCGGTCGTTTACACCGCAAGTGGAAACCGATTGGTCAGCGAATTTGCCGACACGGTGGGTAGCCATTGCCCGTTACGGTGTTTCTTGGAAGGTCATCAGACCTGCCGACGGTCATCTGTGGCACAACTCGACCTCGTCCGTGCCAATTGAAACCGTTACGATTTCCAAAATTTTATAGGAGTGTCCTCAAAGAAGAAATAATAGCAGGCCGTGACTGTATCCTGCGAAAGCCTGGGCCAATATGTTTCGAGCCAAGCCTGGATTTCTACAGGATCTGTGAAATACGGGTGCTAACTTTTTGTTTCTAGAAAGGTTGATGAAACTGCAACAAAATGGACATCTTCATTTAACGGATGCAGCATTATTCACTGTTTAGTGACAGTTTGATCTTATCACAGAGTTACTAGTTTCTATTACACAATTATTACATGTATTACAAATATTTAATACTTACAGTATAAAATCGGAATAATGAATTTTTGAAAATTGTAGGCAATATTTAAAATATAATGACCGACTGACTAAAAGCGTCGTTAACCGATGACATGCAACAACGTTTCCAGAACCGTGTCCTAATATCTCAAACGATCTGTCACTACTCAAGGAACTCGTTTCAAAAGCGACAAAGCTGATTTTAAGAAAAGCAAAGATCAGAATCTCTATAACATAAGTCCTTTGCACTTGCACAGTCCTTTCGCCTCAAGTTTCGCCCGTTGAACCCGTTGCGCATCCGGACAATCGGTCGTTCAACGCACGTTAAGTATTCCCTGAGCGTGCGACCCCGCGTTCCCACCCCCTCCAACCCCTGGACTTAATTATTGCAATATCGCTAATGCTTCCTCAGGCATTTTTGTACGTGGCTCACGTTGTTATCAATTTCGCGGAGAACGCGCATAATTATGCCGGCCACAGGAACGGGCAGCCACGTGAAGGCAAATAGGTGCGCGCCGGGCACACGTGTTTCCTGCGGCGTCCGCCCGTATGCCTACGGACCCGCAATCGAGAAATTGTGGCAGGAAAGCCGAAGTAGTCGTGAGGGCACCGACTTTCGTCGTATTACGGAATCCCCAACCACGTTAAGGCCCAAAGACCCCAGGGATTAACCTGGACTTTCCGGAATTAAAACCATGGGCTAGTGAACCCACATTTTCTCTGCAACTCCCACTGTTCCCTGTTGATGCGCGCCATTAACGCGGATTCCGCGTTGTCTCTACCGATCTACGGAGAAATTAAGGCAAAATATTATCTCTTTGCGGACGAGGATTTTCGAAAAGATTAATCTGATAATTCTGAGGATTTACGAAGATATTAACCCTTCGTAGGTGATGTCTTTTGAAAATATTAATCTTTTGAGGATGACAATATTTGACTTACTATAATAGAATCTGCATCAGAATTTCTTTATTCTACTATAGTTTAA